TATAGTAAGCGTTGGCAAAAAGTACTCAAATATTCATGACCCTATTACAGCGACATTGCAGTAGGTGTGATAACTTGATATATTTGTCGATGTCGACAACAACCACGATAGCACGATGCGATATTACGATAGCACGATGCGATACCACGATAGCGCGATAGCACGATGCGATACCACGATGTCCCGAATCAGCCACCATACGGTGGCCTGTCCGACCTTCAGCCAACCAAATACCTCGACACCCTTGTCGACCCTGTTTTAGCTACAAAAAACCCTGGAATGTGCTGCTTTGGACAGAATGTCACTGAAATTTTCCGGGCGATAATCGCTGGCCGCCGCCAGCCTTTCGTATAATTGTAGAAATATGATATCTCCATGCCCAGATAAATGGCATACCAACCCAAAACAACGGCCTCCGTCCTCTTGATGACTTAAATTGTCGTGTAATTTGACAGTAATCCTAGAGATGAATTTGACGGCAAAGCCGCCAATTCCCACGTGGGGATAATACGCATGCGCAGAAAGATCATTTTCCGGCAAAATTCAATAACGAAGTTTGCGACAACCGACTTCGTTGGGGTTTTTTTTCGGAGAACGGACGAAAATCGGTGCGCGCGCAGGATGTCATCCATAAAAATAAAAAAGTGTGGCCTTACTAATTGAGGGCGGTCTCTGTTGTTTGTCACCATTATCAAACGATCAGATGAGTAAATAAACTTGACTACAGATGACCATTGTGTGACGGCACACCAAGTTCGTTAAAATGTCTCATGTCGATGGTCATCAAATTGTGATCTTAAGGCTTATGACCAATGTCCTATTTAGTAAATGGGCATGTAGCATTTATTAAGGCGATGTGTCACCGCGGGCGTTACAGTAGGATGGTCCCCCTGTTTTAATATAAATAGAGGCCTGTCAAACATGCCTACATAGGCTTTTAACCGACGATATTCTCTTATTCTTAAATTAACTGATCGACTCTGAACGCAGCATCATGAAAGCCAAATATGCCGTCGCTCTTCTCACTGGTGAGTAGAGAATCAGCCTCAGAAAAAATGAGGTTTAAAAACTGAAGGCTTAGTAGTGCACTGTTTTTATTTCCGAAAAGAATTGGAGAGACTGTGTAGTTTTAATGTTATTTTTATATACTGTTTAAAAAGAAATGTGCATTTGGTGTTCGGTCTTAGTTGTTACCTTTGTTAGTTTTCTGTCATTTATTATGTAAACCGTATATCTTTATATTTCAGTTTTCATCTTGATCAGCGCTACTACTGCCCAAACCATTACCATAACAGGATTGTGTTCCGCATTTGGTGCAATTTCCTGTCGCTTCCAATGTATATTCAGAGGGAGATTTCAGGGATGCTGTGGGGTCGGCGCCAACTCAGCTAACTGCTACTGTTATGGTCAGGCATCTCTTCTAAGTAGCAAACCCGATTCTGTAAGTACTCAAAGAGAGAATTGGATGGGGGGGGGGGGGGGGGGGGGGAGAGAGGACTGCACATACCCTTTTCTGTAGCTTCTCACTTTCCTTTCTCAACAAAAAATTGCAAAACAAACGAAACGATGCAAAACAAGTGCTTTTCCATCCCTAAGCCCTACATATCATATAAAAATCCCCGTTTAATGCTTTATATTAAGTGTTTTTTTCTTGTCGAACAGAGGCATTTTTGTTTCCCAGGCACTTCTTATTTACAAAATCCTCGATCTGTCAATGGCAACCTTTACCATGCCACATACCACGCCTTGTTGTACATTATAATATGATGGCATTGACATGTTGTTAATAATATGATTTTACACTGACATACATGTTTACCATACTTGTTAAAGAACGCACCATTTACTATTCCATTTATAGTTCGGATACCAGATACCATGCATATTATTCTTGATTAATATGTCGTATTATACAATGCCTTACATTTTTAACTAACTTATTACTAACATGCACTGCAATATACCATAAAAACCATACCGTTTAACTGATTTCCTTTCATCGATATGTTTTTGTTGATTGTTCTTTCAGGGAACAGTGCCAACTGAGTGCTCAGGGAAGTCCGAATAAGCATCGTAGCAATAAACTTTCCGGTGGAAATAGAACGTGTGATAGGGAACAATGGTTACTGCAAAGGGAATTAAGGGGAGTATCGATATCCATGCTGCAGGACAGTGTATGAACCTCATTTGATGCGCCATGAAGAGATCGAGTCATTTAACTTTGCATTAACAATATTAATTGTTGTAAAAAGAAAAAGGTAAATAAAATCCTTGTGAAGATTATTGCGAGATCCAAAGAGGAAGTTGCTCTCATTATTCTATTCGACGACTTTTGTCCTAAAATAATGGTTGGTATCACAATAAATGTATGTATAAATATATGTGGCAAACACAAAATAATTTCGTTATTTACTTTATGATATGGAACTTCACTTTGCTTTCAAAGACACCATCCAAGTAATTGGTCGCACAAGGTTCGAAACACATTTTATAACAAAGCCTAGCTAAATATTCAAAGAAATATGGTGAGAATTTCTTATATTATATCCGACGAAATGCCATAGTTAGGATTTGGTATATTGATTGCAATCGTTTTGTGATCAGGTTTCGTTCTTTTTTTGTCCCTCTGCCTTTATATGTTAGTTGAAATGCGTTAGTTGTGATAAGGAGTTGGTCTATTGATTGCGTGCATGTTTCATTCGATCTTGTCTCTTTATCTTATAAGCAAGAGAAAAGTTGTTCGTGCGTAACGCCTTTTGTTTTGGAATGTGACAAATACATGTACATTTTTTATTTTCAAGTAGGTGTGACATTGTTTTCTATTCTTTAATAAATTTAAGGTTTCTCCCTCTTCTAATTTACTTACTTAACTGATTTTCTGTAATTATCGTTCTTTATCATTCCGTATCTTTTCACCTTACTTTGCTTGTAATTGGTTTTCATTACATTTATTCATTATAAAATGAGTTAATTAATTATTATTTACCAATAAATATACGTTGTGCTGTATACCACATAACCATTAGAAACTGGCAAATGACAAATATACCCATGGAAAAATAAAAATGAAAACAAAAGTATGCAAAGTTTTGGACATTTTTTGAATGAAATTGCAATTTTAAAAACAGTTTTGCAAACTGAATGCTTTATAAGCTTCAGTGACTGGTATACCTTTAAAATGAACATTAGCCATATGCCAACCATTTTCGTCAGCTTCCAAATGAACAAAAATATGAACAATTCTTTCACAAATAAAAACAAAATTTTATCTCGAAATTTAGGAAAATTCAATTAAATAGTTTTACACATGATAGACACCCCACACACATAAATATAAGCATGACTATATACTGTCTTTATCATTACATGCTATCTTTCTCTACACTGTAAATTTTGGGAACGGGTATATTGTATCTTGATATGAGAAAAAGGTCTCTTGTGCACAATAGTCTGTCTTTGTTGTTTCACTAATAGGGAGCGGTCAGTGTTCTTTGTCACATTTATAGAACAATGAGTAAAAAAAAAAAACGAAGAGAAGTTAACGGTCATATTTACTCTAGACTGAAGTGGACCGCTTTTAAATCGATCCAAAAAAAGTGCCAATTTCGATAAAACCAGATGGTGCACAACTTGTCATCAAGCTACTTGATTTTCACTTACAGTTACGTCCAAATAGTAACTGTGATGTTGCTTCCTGTAGCTGTATTCATTGCTCTTCAAACATGCTGAACTGACTAGACTGCAATCAACCCGGTGTGTGCGTAGTATGCCGCCTAGTTCTGCATTCTCTTTGCATTTGGTTTGCGGCTGTTTTGGGTGTGAATCTCCGATCTGAGCAAAACTGTACAAATTAATATTAAACTCAGTTTAGCTGCAGAAGTTTCGTGATCTTAGTTACAAATCAGAAGTAATCCAGATGACCATTGTGTGACGGCACACCAAGTGCCTTTTAGGTGTCTCATGTCGATGGTCATCATATTGTGATAAAAATCCTCATAACCAATGTTCTATCTAGTAAATGGACATGTAGCACCCATTAACGCGGTGTGTCACCGCCTGCTTTGATATAAAAAGGAGAATGCCAAAAAATTCAACGTAGGCTTTCATCCGACGATAATCTTTTTTTATTTAAAACTGGCAAATTCTGAACACAGCATCATGAGAGCAAAATATGCTGTCGCTCTTCTCACTGGTGAGTACAGAATCAGCCTCAGTTGAAAGATCACTGTGAAAAAGATTTAGTGATACATAATATGCTTTGCTTTGTTTTCTGAAAAATAGGCATGTGATTAGTTTCATTCATTGCAAATCATTTATTCTACAAAATAGCTGTTTTACAAAAGTTGTTATCCTTTTTAATCTTAGGTATCTATGGTAAAGAATTGTGACTTCTCTCTCAAAGAGAGTAATCGGCCATTTCATGGAAGTCGTTTAAGGTGTCTTAACCTAAAAGCATTCCAAAATCATCACACACGTTTATCGCGTCAGCAGGGTGAAGAACTGGTCCTGTACTGATAATAGAAATCATCCGAGATAACTTGCAATTTAGCGTAACTTGCAATTTAGCGTAAATATCGAGCGAGAGTTTGCCAAAGAGTGGTGTCAAATAATGGTTGACTAGGGAATGTGGTGAGGCGTTAACTAAAAGCTGACAAAACTTATCCAGGGATATATATATATTTTTTCTTTTATGTTCTGTAGAATGAGAATCCATGTACAACAAAATCACAATACATGTAGGTTGCAAACCACTCTTGTATCGCTTTGTAAGACGGCAATCCCGCACAGAGTTTCACACTTATCGAAACAATTAAGGTCCACCTCTCGTGGATTTTTCTCACTTTTTTCTAATTCCACACCAGGAGCCCAACCTTTACTGTAGCCACATTTCACTTTCAATTTCAGTTTTCATCTTGATCAGCACTACTACTGCCCAAACTATCACCATATCTAATGGCTGTATTGTATCTGGTGCTTTTATTTGTCGCCTCCGATGTTTCTTCAGAGGAAGATTCCGGGGATGCTGTGGGGTTGGCGCCAACTCAGCTAACTGTTACTGCAATGGACCGGCATCTCTTCTAAGCAATCCACCCAATTTTGTGAGTATTCAAGGACAGATCCGGATGGGGGAGGGGGGAATGGGAGTTGGGAAGCGTTCACGAACCCCCTCCTTAGCTTCAGATGTACCTACCCTTCACGAGAATCATTGGTCGACCCGTTCCTGCATTTGGATTTTTGGAAATGAATCCGTATATTACAAAGCCTGCACTTTCATGTACCTTAATAAATATATTTCACTCCCATTGCTGACACACATTTTCCCGCTTACTGGAATCAGTTTGAAATACAGAAAAAATTGACCATGCATGTACACCACAACATATACGATACTACAGAACAAACTAGTGCCGATTACCATTCCTGCCATTCTGTTTAACATGCAAGATATCATAGATATCATATACGTCAACTTTAAATCATAACATGCGTCATACAATATACAAAGTTCACACTTCATAAAGAACATAAAGAACATGTAATATACAATAAAATGCCACACATGTACCATACACATTCCATACCGTTTTACTGATTTATTCTTTAAAATACATTTTTGTTGATTATATACTTTTAGGGCACGGTGCCAAGTGAGTGTTCTCCACCACCACCAACAACAACAACAACAACAGCAACACCACCATGATGGAGGAATATCTATATCCGTACTGCTCGACACTACATCATTTGATGTGTCACTAAGAAAGTGATTTTAATTTCAATAATAACAATTTTGTTGTAAAACAAAAAGAGAAAATGAATCCTTGTGAGATAACTACAAAAAGAGGGAATAAAATATGCCTTAAAGTTCGGTTTGTCGACTTTCTCCTAAAGTTGGGTTGGTATCTCATTTAATGTCTGTGTATATATATAAACAATTTTATCTTCTTCAGTTCCTTTTTGTCATTTGAACCTGTCGATATTATTCCACTTTTCTTTAAAATACGTCAGTTTAGTAATTGATCGCATTAAGTTCGAAAGGCATTTTATTATAAAACGTACTTGTTACCTGACATTCAAATGACTAAGATGCTAATTTTTAAAAATTCATTGTTACTTCATAATTAATTAGTTTACTTGGGGTATTTACTTTTTGTTCATTTGATTCTAGATAAGTAGAAGGCTAATAAGCTACAGAAATGAAGTCTGCAATCCGATGACAATTTAGACGACAGATGGTAACTATAACGCAATTTTCTCACAAAACTCAAATTTCTTCAAGAAAAGGACAATGTATCCTACCCACGAGTCATTGACCTACCAGTCCCTGCATTTGGGTGTGATGTTTTGTTCCACTAATAATTTAATAATTTTGTCCTAAATGTCTAAATTACTGGTCAGCCATTTACCCAGCACGTCGACATCTTCCTTCCCGATCTCCAAGAACATGAGCACGTTTTCACTTCATAACATTAAAAAAAGGTGCGGGGTTTTGTATCGTGGACCTGTGCCGTGTATCATACATTGAGAGTTGTCCTGGTTACTCGTAAAAGCTGAGAAGATAAATAACGGTAGATAAACAATGGGGTTGTATTGTTTATAAGTTCTAATATGGGAAACATGCTTGTACCTGCATTAGGGGCATATATACACGTAGTCTAAATATGACTTTGGGTCATTTCAAAAGCTTAGAGATAACCTTTCACGAATTGTCTTTTGCTTTATTTTGAACAGACTCCCTTACTTACAGTATGATTGGACATTTCAAACTATGTTGCCCAACGTACAGCAATCAAATGATTTCCCTGGCGTATTGGAGACAATGAATACATAAAAATATCTACAATGTGTACGTGTGAGGTGATAGGTAGTCATCAAAAGGTTTCGAAACGTAATATGTTCTACCGGACATTTGTTATAAATGAAGATTTTCAAAATAAATCCGTCTTTAAAGGAAGTCAATGTACATATAGGTTAGACCATTGTATAGGATAGGGAAAGGTTTGAAGAAAAATAATAATCATATTTGTGTCGCATGAGATTATATTTATGAATATTCATACTAATTCCCGTTGGATCTTTAATCCATTAACTTTAAAAAAATTAACAAATGAACAACATGCATCGGAATTTCTATGCTCAGCGGAAGTACAGGATGTAGGAACAGAACAGCAAAATCTCTCACGCTTTCGACCAATCATGAGGCTCGAGAGATAAAGCAGCATGAACAGAGAATTAAGGTCACACTCAAGTTTCAAAAGTTTTATCTCTAAATTTCTGGAATTTTTTTAATCACTTGATTTTAGAGACCCGATATAAATATAAGCATGCCTATTTGCTTTTTTATCACTACACGTTATCTTTCTCTACACTGTAAATTTTGGTTACGGTATCTTGATATAGAAATGCTATTTTGGAAAAAATTATTTGTTTATTGTCAAGTAGGGGCGGTCAGTGTTATTTGTCTTCATTATCCATAAACCAGACGAGTTAATAATCTTGACTACAGCTAATGGTCGTGTTTATTCTAGAATTAGGTAGACTGCTTATAAATCAATCCGAAATAATATCCATTGAAGACGGCGAGCGGCTTGTCATTCAAACAATTGGACTTTCGCTATTGTGACACAAATGACTGTCCCGCTTCATCACTCATTGTAATATATTAATGCAACCTTGGCACGACAACAAGTATATTGTCCCTTTAAAAGTCTTTATTTCGACTGATCTGAAACAGAATTCACTACCTTCTTTACGTATGATCACTGGTGGGTGTATCTCCAAATCGCCAAAGACTTTTTATAGTAGAGGGTCACATGACCCAAGTGACACAAAAAGGGCCTAACACCAGCTATACATATTCATTACATCTATTTACATACTATAGTTATCAGGGGCGGATCCAGAGCTATTTTCAGATAGTCTTCTTAATTATCTTTGTTGATCCATCTTCTATTTTTGACCGTCTTCCGACAGAAAAAAATTAGATAAATTAGAAAAAAATTAGTCTTCCAGAAGACCCAGAAGACGGCCTCAATCCGCCCCTGGTTATACTTAGGTGCAGTATACCACTTAGGTGTGAATACCATTTTACATCTAAGATACTAAAAGCATGCTTAAGTGTGTCGATTGCAATCAACCCAGTGTGTGCAAAGCTTGGCGCCTACACAATGCTTTCTGAGGTCTACGACTGGTGTGAATGTTGTTGGAATCTTTGAACTGAACAAATGTAAAATTGGCCAAGCAATAGTTAATCTCGGATACCTGCAACGCTTTGTAATTTCGCTTTCAGCGAAGAAGTAACCAGGCCAGCTGTCCATAATGTGACGGAACCCATTGGCCTCTTCTGAACCTCATGCCAACGTCTATCAAATGGCGACTTAACGTTGATTATCAAAGTCGTATCTCGTAAATGGACAGATAATACACGACTGCAATAGTGTCACCGTTACAGTAGGGTGAACTCCCGTTCTCGTATAAAAAGGGGCCTGTCAAACATACTTACCGAGGTTTTTAACCGACGATATTATTTTATTCTTAACTGATCGACTTTGAACGCAGCATCATGAGAGCCAAATATGCCGTCGCTCTTTTCATTGGTGAGTAAGCATACATAAAAAGCTTCGGCAAAAGCAGGTGATAGTTAACGATTGACTGAAAAACTAGTATCAATGTGCTTTTTTTCTCTTTTTAAAAAATTGAGTGCGTGAATATTTTGATGTGAATATTGTAAACTGTTTTATACTAAATGTACCCTTTGTTTTCGATTGTCTTTCCTAAAAACACAATGCAAATTTTACTATTTCTACCAATCACGTAAAAGATCACATGGATTTATTTCCCACAGTGCTGTCTTTTGCCACAAGCTTTATCTGCTAAACCAAAATATCTCTAGTAATTGTTTCTTACATAACAAGTAGTCGGGTCAGGGAGATAGTTCACGTTCGTTCAGCTCTCTACATGCGGCAAGCACGTACAGTATCGGGGTAGTGCGTCGCCAAGGATCCGAAAGTCACGATAAAATTCATAAAGTTTACTTTAACATTTGTGTTTAAAATAAAACTCCGGACGACGCAGAGGGTTGTAACTGTCTCTGACCACCAGTGCTGTACTGCTGTGCCCGACCCACGTACTGTATCCGACCAAAAAAAAGAATAAAACGAGTGGTGCACAAGTTTTCAAGTGATATGCGCAGAAACATAATCCCTTCTGTCTAACCTAAACCGTTTATCTTATAGATTAGAAGTAAAACCTCGCGGATTCTCGCACGTTTTCGAGTTCAGGGGAGAAGTCCTATTTTTTTTCACCATTTAATTGTACCTTTCCATTTCAGTTTTCATCTTGATCAGTACCACTTCTGCCCAAACAATTACCATACCTGGAGGCTGTTCTGTATTTGGTGCATTTTCCTGTCTCTTCCGATGTATATTCAGAAGCAGATTCCAGGGATGCTGTGGGGCCGGCGCCAACTCAGCTAACTGCTACTGCTACGGTCAGGCATCTCTTTTAAGCAATCCACCTAATTTTGTGAGTATTCAGAAATGGTCCAGAAATGGTGGAGGACAAAACGTGCACGCCCCCCCCCCCCGGCTTCAGATGTACCCCGTCCCACTTTCCCTTAAATAACAAACAGTTAAACAAGCGAAACGTCCCACAGCAAAGTATTATTTTTCCTTAAACCATGTTTCATAGTTGGCCTATTACCTTTTACTGCTCTATATTTCTTAAATTGAACCGAGGCAAATTCTTTACCTTGTCATCGTCTCTTCGCAAAATCCTGGAGCCGACAATGAAGTATTTTTATAATACCACACGCATATATATGTATCATAATCATATAATATACAGAATTTATACTTTATAACTAACAAGCAGTAAACCACGCATATACCATATCGCTTTACTGATTTCTTTAACCCATCACGGATAAAGAAATTTTTGTTGATTTTTCCTTCAGGGTACGGTGCCTACTGAGTGCATGGGCATGCCAAACCACATGTATTAATATATACACAATAACCGTTTCCTGAACATTCAACCTCTAAGGTACGTTTACTCATGATGATGACAAGACTGACAAGAAAGAGGAATATTCATAAATTGTACCTCATTTTTGAAACATGGTTTTTATGACAATAAATGTGTATGTATACACACGTTTTGTCTTCAACATTTGAGTCATCTATCTATCAAAGTCACCTTTTAATAAAAGATAAATATACAAAATTGCTTTCTCATTTGAGCCAAGCATGTTAAAGGGATAAAAACTCTTCGTATGAGATCTATATTTTACAATAAAAAATTGTGAATAACTCATAGAAATATAATATATTCTGTTTTACCACAAAAACGGCAGTTATAGCTATTATTCTGATATCTGAGCTTGTCTTTAGACCACATGACCTCCATTGTTGGCTATACTCTGTTAAAATCTCTTAAGAGATTTTAACAAAAAATCAAACTTTTTAGAAAAAAAAAAGGACTAATTTTGAATGTAAAAATGGATTCATTAACCATTGGTTAGTATGGGAAAATTGTTGTTTACTCCAGGAAAATTAATTTTTGGCCGAAACAAAGAGTTATTATCCCTTTAAGCTTCTGTGGCTCCCTGGTAGCTCTACTGATTTAAACACAGCAGTCAGATACGGACGAAATATATGGGTTCGAGGTCTAGTGTAATCAAAGTTTCATTAGACTTTATTATTTCTTTTGCTTTGATTTTAATAGGTCACTTCTCTTAAAGACCATGTGGCCATTATTGGACTGACTTCCCGTGAATTGGTTAAGCAGTCATCTCCAATCATACATTCAGACAAAACATATGCTCTGCCTTTCCATATACAACAGGTAAAATGCACGCAATCACCGTTT